CCCGCCTCTTTCAGTGCCCTCCACACAAGCTGGGCAGCAGTGATGTCAATTAGCCACCCTGTGAAGGAGGAGGTTGAAGAAAGGCGGGTTTACCATCCTTGAGGAAGATCAAACTATTTATCCCACACTTGCCCTTTTCCAGTGCTCTATATGGGGACTGTTATCGTTGAGCGGGCAACACAGTGTTTTCCAAGGGTTAACACACGTTCCACTATTGAAACTAGCAAAGAGGTTGTCAACCTCCTCAACAAACGCAGCTGTCGCCAGGTATTCACTGCATCACCCTCCTGAAAGAACATTAAAAAGGAAGTTAGTGAGCTTCCTTACATAATGGACTACCATAGTTCTTCAGAGCTGAAAATAACACACTTTGCTAAGGACTGCCATAAAAAAGAATTTGTGAATTTGATTACGTTATTCCTCACAGCAAAGACTTTGACACCTCTTTCTCTCATAAATCATGTTACTGACAGTGTGTTCTGCTTTTCAGATAATTTTAATTGCCCTAAAAACATCAGTACTGTGACATATTCCATGTAACCTGTATATTGATATACAGTTTTGTAATAAATGATGAAAACGTTTGAGAACTGGCTTCTGAGGATAATAATTTTGAAAACTAGAGGAACGACGATAACAAATCAAAACCTGATTCAGGAGGTACATATTCCAAATGTTGGGGTTGTGTTGAATAAATTGAACACAGACATACAATAAACTCAATTTACTCACGGGATTAAGCAACACATAATAAATTAGTTACACCATGAATTAAAACAGACATACCGGTCTGGATCCCTTGGAAAGCTGAAGAATCTGATGCCTTGCTTGCTGGATAACAAGCACCCAACGGCAGCACAAGTTTTTGTTTCATGTTTATACTGCAAGAAGCAATACAAAAATTATAACCCCATCACGGTACTCTTAGAACTCCTTCACATTCTACAGACAATCTTTGGGCTAAATCGAAAGTTGCAGAACATATCTTTAAAAAAATATAGTTTAGATGACAGTATATGATAACCTAAAAAATTCTGAGCTTGAAAGAATTCTATATATTTCTAATCTAATTTGCGGTAGTAAGCATAACATTCACATACACAAATAATATTGTAACGTGTTTTGTTACTGAAGACGCCGTTCGGATTGTTAATTGGTTTATTCAACAACCTACAAGTAACGGCTACAATTAATTATCACACAGTTGCGGGGTTTCACACTTTATAACCCTAATCGCAATAATCTGTTTACACTGTTGCGGGGTTTCACAATTTATAACCCTATTCGCAAATCAATTCACTCTGTCTTCAGTAGTCTACACGTTTCACAGTACGGGAGCTATGTAAGAGTTCCTGTATCACACACTCCCAATTACACAACTACACACACGTCCGGTTCTTCTTTCCGCGAACGCTGCTATACTCCAACTGTAGACTGCTGACTGGAGAACTGTCTTGGGCCTCTGATACACTTCAACGCTCTCCGTTGACGGCTACAAGTTAACTCGACTACAACTTAACTCGGCGATGTCCACATTTCAATTCACTGACGCTTACTGCTCAGCCGGCTTTTATTCCGTTCGCTGTTGCCTGTTGCCCGCGTCAACAGCGTCGTTGCGTGCCACGTAACAGTGTCTGCGTATAGCCTAGCAACGCTGTTACCTCACGCCGTCTTACGTCACCGCTGTTGACTCGCGTTGCATAGCTACCAGGACGCTAGGACTCGGATAACTTCGGCTCCGCTCGGCGCGTCTGCTCCGGGGGGGGGGGGCTAGCGCGACACGTCACAATATGTTTTAATACGGAGATGTAACTTCGTTCGCAAATGTCTACTTTCGCTTCACAACCACATCAAATTAAAATTTATACTTACCTCCAGGTCCAGGTTAGAATCTTAGGCCGGGCGCCAACCAGGGAAACTGGCAACCCCAACGCAACCGCGATTTCCGAGAAATTTCGTCGATTTCAAGCAGGTAACTGGTTTCCAAATTAGCAGGCGCACACTGAGGAAACTTACGATCGATTAGTTGCTCACAACATCCCAAGTGGGTGTGTTTGCCCGCCAATTTCGTGCATTTCTCTTGTGCAATGTCAGATAATATCGTTTCTGTAATCATATGGTGGTGGTTCACACGGCGTAAGATGAGAATACAGGAGAAAAGAAAACATTGGGTGCACCCGTTCTTTCTCTACTTTTTAAACTTAGGTGTTTATATTGTTTCGAAATAATTTAATCAGGATACAGTCTGTGCAAATCATTTTACAGAATGAGCACTGAAAGTTTTTCCTTATTAGTGGATATTGTAGGATCTCAAATTCGAAGACAAGATACAAATTTTCGTACAGCTGTGTCAGCAGAACCATAGACAAAATTATAGTTTTGTATATTCTAATGTTTATGTTTTTGGACAGCAGATGAGAAGACAAAAGGTTGCGGACTGAATGGTAGCAAGCATCACCCGAGTTCAGTCTCTTAATTTCCTCCTGAATCATGTTTTCGTTTGTTATAGTCATTCCCAAATATTTTAACTGTGCCACATTTTCAAAACATCTGTTATCTATCTTTATGTCAGGATTTTGCTCCACATTTTGGTGACAAGACAGCAACATATACTTAGTTTTCTATGTGTTTACTTCTAGACCAACCTCCTTACTTGCATCACATAAAGTTTGTGTGTTTCTTTATGGTATCTATATTATCGCCCAGTAGATTCACATCAGCATAGACCAACAGCTGATGTGTCCCATTCAATTTCAGTCTCCTCTGGTTTTCCTGGACCTTCCTAATGGCATATTCTAAAGCAAACTTGAAAAGGAGTGGTGATAAAGCATCTCTTTGATTTAGATCATTCAGAATAGGGAAATTATCAGAAAAATATTTACCTATACAGACTTTACAATACATTTAGTTTAAACACATTTTAATCAGCCTGATTAGTTTCATAGGTATCGCTAATTCTTATGAGAATATTGTACAATACTTCCCTCCTAACTGAATCATAGGCTTTCTTGAAGTCTATGAATAGCTGATGTACTCTTATTCTATTCCCATTTTCTCCAGTTATCTGATGAATGCAAAAGATCTGATCAGTAGTTCATTTGTTATGTCAAAACCCACACTAATGATCCCCAATAATTTCATCTATGTATGGACTTAACATTTAGACAAGAATATTGGATAACATTTTGTATGATGTTGATAGCAGTGATATCCCCTGATAATTTCTACAGTCTGTTTTATCACCCTTCTTGAGAACTGGTACAATATTAAGACATATTTTTTCTTATGTCAGATAGAATTAATTAGCTTGTGGATCTTAGAGCATAATATTTAGCCTCCTGCTTGAATAAGTTCTGCCGGAATTTGATCACTACCTGGCGATTTATACCTTTCTAATTTTGCCATAGCAATTTCAACCCCAAAAGGGCTAGGACCAGGTACTGACAGCTCAGCTTTATGTATTTCTATCTGCCTAACATCACTGACCCTATGTACATTCAATGTATCCATATGTATATGGATGGGAAGTAAATAAATAAATGAGAGAAGTAGTTCTTCCACCTATTCAAAATGTTGTGGGAATCTCCAAGCAGATCACCATTCCCATCCTTCACTAAGTTACTTCTAGGTTGTTAACTCCTCTCAAAGTCATTTATTCCTCTATACAGGTCTCTTAATGTTCTTGTTCTTACTGTTCATTGCAAGCTCAACAATTTTGTCTTTCAGATATTCCCTCTTTTTATTCCTGAAATGTCTGCTGGTTTCATGTCATATATTTTTCAGAATATCACCATTTATTTTGCTTGGATCCTGTAACCACTTCAATTTGGCTCGTTTTCTTTGGTCTAATTATTTTGAGCATCCCTCATCGAACCATGGCTTATGCTTCTTCAGTTCATAATAACGTAGACTCTCCATGGAAGAAACTCTCATTCCCAGTCGTTGGTTTGAAAATGTCTTCCCTACCTACATTGGCATCGAAATCTCCTAGCAAAATTTTCACATGGTACTTCAGGAATTTATCAAATACATGTTCTTGTTCTTCATAGAACCCGTCCTTCATATCAATTTTATGATGCTGGATTTCGGAGGCTTGTGAAGCGATGGGATGTGCCTCAGTGTACAGGAAGTTTATGTTGAGAAACAAAGCAACTTTTCAAATCAGTACTCTTATTTAAGTTCTATATCCATTTGTAACTTACTTATTGATTTACCCTCGTGTATATATATATACACACACACACACAAGCCATCATAAAATAAACGTTGTCAGTTATGTATACAATATCTGTAATTAAAATAAATCTACAAGAACATAAAACCAATTACTGAATTATATAATAAAACAATATACCAATTACAAATCTCAATCTATGGTTTAAAACAATCTATTTGTACTTGTTGCTACTAGAACTCTCTTATTCCTTAGTCAACAACTTCGCAACAAGTACATTGTTTTCGTAAGTTTCACACACTCCTCAAGTCATATCCGTAATTATTTGCTCTGTAGACAATTGCACAGACGATGTAAACAACGTTCCTTTTGTGGAACAGCAGCAATAAAATGCAAAAATCTAAATCTTTATTTCCAACAATAATATTCTTCTACGGTGAGGAGCTCTTCCTCAATTAACTCCACACAAAACCTTTGGCCAGTTCATAAGTTTTCGTGCCATCGTTAAATACAAACGAACCACTGCTGCGCGTTACACTACAGCTGATTTCTAAGAATCCACGCGGCAATTCAATTGAACACAATCGTGTGTGATCGTGTGAATACTGGCATGCTCCGTTGCCTGGAAATTGAGTTTCTCAGTCTCCCCGCAAGTCGCGTTTCCGTTTCCTCAATTTGCGCTGCCCCATTTACTAACATTTGTACAACTCCGGCTGATAGCACTTCTCGGAAATCGCGGTTGCATTTCAGTTGTCAGTTTCCTTTGGGAGCTCCCGGCCTTACGATTCCTTCGTTCCGCGTCAGAAATCCCTACGTTCAATCATAAGATACAGTTGGTAATCCTTCCAGTGTTGTCTGTGTTCCAATGTAACTGGGCGTTCAGTTTCCATTTTTCAGAATTTCAGTAAATGATTGAAATGGTGAAGTATCTCGAATTTTAGGTTCTCACGGCATTAAATTTTGAAGAGTATTGTCTTCTGGGATGTGACACCGCGTAGTCTAATAGGTCGATATGGTAGAGGTGATAATACTCTATCAACATTGGAATGCATTCGAGTGTAATCAAATGAAACTGTTGCTATTAACTGTGGATTGAATTGATTTAGTTTAATCCACATTGTCGTACAGAAAATGTGCAAATTTTGAAAGTTGAAGTCGTAGAACGGTCGTAGAAGGTAGGCAACGACAGTGCCTTGCAGTGCTTACAGTAGTATTATTCACTAGACATGTGGCGTTTCTAGCTGCATTAAAACCAGATTAAATTTAAAATGCATTAAAATGTTAATTTCATTTTAGCGTGTGTTAAAAGTGAGAATTTGTAACAAATTCCCGATGCGTCAGCATTGAAATGTCGTAAATCAATCAGAAGAGCTCCATATTCCGATTTTGTAAGGAGGATCTTAAGTAAGGGGTTCTTGCATATTCGTAAAACCTCCAATTGGGAGGTTTATGTACTCTATTCCTAATGAGAGTTTATTTGAGCAAAGGACATATCGGTAATTTTTTATGATCATGCCACATACCACGAGGTTATTTGATCTCACAAATGCACCTTTCTGGTTTAGGTAACACCCAGCCAGACTCCAGGCATTATAAAGATTTGTATCTTCTGGGATATAAAGCTGTGTAGTCCATTGAAAGTTGGCCGATGTTTGAGAGGAATATGTTGCCTCCACCATCAGGGTCTAAAAATAAGCCAAACATGAAAGCAGCATTGGGGCACATGATAACATAGTTGGTTGAGGCACTATGTTACAAGCTGGAAGGTTGCGAGTTTGATTCTCAGTGAGGTTGTTGAATTTTTATTTGACTTAATCCTTCCAGCCACAATATGGCCCTGGGGTCGACTCAGCCTCTAACAGAAAATGAGTACCAGGAATCTCCCTGGGGGGAGGGGGTAAAGGGCAGTCGGCCAGTGTGTAAGGCTGGCAGCCTCACCACCATTTGTGAGCCGATTGTCTAGAAAATGTGGGAACCATGATGTCACAACTGTATTGACCTCCACGTTCTATTAACAGGGATAACGTTACCTTTACCTTTGAAAGCAGCATGAAACAGAACAGTCAGAGCTCTGCTGCATTCTAGTTTCTTGCTCGTCTTATTCTTTGATCCTAAAGATGGAGGTGACATGTTCATCCAAAATGTCAGTTGACTGCCAATGGACTACATGGTATTATACCCCAGAAGATAGACCTCTTCATAACCACTTGCATGAGTACAGACCATACCACTTGTTTTTACTGCTTTGAAAACTTAAGATCTCATGTTGGCTTAATTTGGCAGCTCTGTTGCAATAATGTACAATTTACTTGTATATATAGTGTACAGATTTAAACTTTAAAGAAATAATATTCATAGTACGATAGTAGTTAAGTTGCTCATGTATTTTAAGTGTTCAGAATTACATAAATATTTTTTTAAGGTTTCTCCCAAGAAGAATGGCTCGTAGTACTGCACATATCTTGGAGGATAAGCCCCGAACACAAGATGTGTTTATTAGTGAAGATATTGACTTCACTGGAATGCTGTTATCGGAGTTAACCTTGAAAGGTCTACATAAAAGTGGGTTTAGGAAGCCATCACCCATACAGCTTAAAGCAGTACCACTTGGAAGATGTGGATTTGGTAAGACACTGATTCTGGCTTATGAGGATTTCAAGGTTCAACATTGCTAACACAAAAGCCTATCTTTGGGTCTTAATATAATCCTCTTCAGTGAAACCCACACTACAGCTTGTTTTCCTGCAGATTCATTTACATACTATCCTCCCAGTGTCATCGTGATATTCCAGTTGACAATTCCCTAAGGAGTATCCTAGTTTGAGTTGCACTTTCCCTCATATGAGGGTCATGTGTAGCCAGTCATAACTTCCTTCAGTTATGTTGGATATAAGGTTCAGTGAAGAACACTGTCTGCTGGAATGTCACTTCATGTTACCAGTGTTTCAGAGGAATGTATTGCTTCTGTCTTCACATTGGAGTATTGCTTGCCACATTCATTTTGCTGGTTTCTTGCCTGGCTTACTCTTCTGCACTGAAGACAGACAGCACAGTCCTCTGAAACGTTTGTGGACCTCTACAAGAGTATTTGGTGTTACATTCTAAAAGATAGTACTTTTCCTTTAATTAATTTATCAGCAGTGGTGGTAGAAGAAGCGTGGATGTGATAATGAACACTTTTGTTCCATAAAGGGTAACTTATTTTCTTAAAAACTGAGTGACTATTAGCTTTTCAAGGACTGTGCAGATGCAACCTTTTACATTTCTTAAGCTAGAGGGCAGAAGAATGCAGCCATTGAAATGAATGGTGTTTCATTACGTTCACAGTAGATTACTCTATGCACCCGCCAAGTTTGAATGAGATTGGTGCAAAGAAACCAACAAATTTTAAACTCTAAAGTCGCAATACGGGTTTTGTCGATTGCAGCAAGGATGCCATGTTTCTCAGAGATCGACATATGTCAACCACAACAGTGTAAGGGTTAAGTCACAGGAAGCTTGTATTATTTTAGCTAAATGTCTTAAGCAAAACCCGATATGCAGTACTATGCATGTAGTTACAATTAATATGTTGTTGGACATTATCCATCATCTTGTCTATTCTTAAAAAACCGTCCTGTTTCTTTTAAAAACACAACGTTTCGGGGACTGGATTCCGTCCCCGTCTTCAGGTAAAACCTACTCATTTGGGTCCAATAAACAGAGCTAGCCCCTATCTCTGGATCAGGGGCTAGAATAGACAAGATGATGGATATTGTCCAACAACATATTAATTGTAAGAATTTACCATCGTCACAAACTTTTAGATCTTATAGGCATGTAGTATTTGGTATTTTCATTTTCCAGACCTAATTGTGCAAGCTAAATCTGGAACAGGCAAGACTTGTGTGTTCACTATAGTAGCCCTGGAGATGGTCCTTGTTGAAAGCAAAAGTTTGCAAGTTCTTGTCTTGGCCCCTACTAGAGAGATTGCCATTCAGATCAAGAATGTTATGCAGGATATAGGCAGTGAGATGAAAGGTATGTGTTTACATTAGGTCATTGTTATAAACGTTCCTCAAACACAGTCTAGTGAATCGGTGCCATGGAAACACATCTGATTCACATTTGGAAGCTTCGCAGTTTGAATCTTCTCTGGGTACTGGTTTTCTTAAGTGAGACATCCGTGGTTTTCTGTCTGCTGAATTTTCACAGTTACTTTGAGATTTTTTTTTTATTGCCAGCGTGGTGGGACTAAGTCCCTTGTACTGCGGCCACTTCTGGCCTATTGTACCAGCCCCAGATGATAGGTGAGGGTGATTGTGGAGCAGTTGGTGAAATGATGATTGGCAGGGGAAACCGAAGTACTCGGAGAACACCTGCCTCACCTCCACTTTGTCCACCACAACTCCCACTTGACTACCACAGTGGGAAGCCAGCAACTAACCGCTTGAGCTATGGTGTGGCCCTACGTTGAGATTACTGCAGGTATCTTCTGTTTTATTTTTGGGAGAAATGTGATGTGTGCATGGATACATTTTGTTATCTTCAAAGTGTGGTGCAGCCGTTCTTTCTCTCCGTTGTTCACGTCGGTGACTACTTAGTTGGACGTCACGCTGCAGTCGTTCTCTCTTCCGTTATTATTGGGCGCGCGAAGTATGAGAACTCACCTTAAGTTTATTTAGCATGAGAAACCGTCTCAGGGTCTTGACGGGCCTCGCTTGGACAGGAACACTTTAAATTTTAACTGGAGCACTCGGCTTATAAAGAATTCATTTATTATTGCAATTGTTATTTTACACTGTTTGACACTTTAAAGTAGGTAAGTATGTACGTAGCTTCATAGTTTCACTTGTTTTTTGCGGCAATTGACTAATTAGGTTGCCTTATTTTAACACGGGGAAGTGATTACTTGTGGCCCGTATGACGTCGCGCACTGGTCTGGCAGTCGCACCCGAGGGAGGCCCCTCTTTGAACAAAAACATACATAGACGCTACCATTGGCTAAGCCTATCAATATACTCGCGGTACCAAGAAATCATTTATCTCTCTCTACCTCGAAATTAGCAAACATCACAAACCAAACCGGTAAAGGCAGCCTCCCAGATGCAGCTCCGACCTGTATACTACGTCTCACAATTCCATTATAACGAATGCTTTAAATTCAGTACATAAAACGGCCACAATGGTGCATAAAATGTGAGATCAAATACATGCATTGCAGTATCACATAATAACTTCTAACATTTCTAGGCTTAAAGGTGCATTCATTCATTGGGGGTCTTCCATTTGAGGAAGACAAAGCAAAGCTTCAGCGTTGTCATATTGCAGTTGGTGCTCCTGGAAGGGTGAAGCATCTCATCGAGAAAGGGTTCCTAAAAACCGATAATGTGCGACTGTTTGTATTGGATGAAGCTGATAAGCTCATGGAGCCTAGTTTCCTGAAGGATGTCAAGTATGTGAATAGAAGTTTATTTAATGTTTTTTTCAGTTGCACTGTTGAGTTATTTTTGTTCTTATGTAACTACTGTTCTATTCATTACCATGCCATGATAGGACAAAAGTCAATTAAGAATTTTGTTCTTAAATCCAAGAACTGGAGCATCCACATGCTTTGTCTGATGTTTCTGACCTTATTTACAAATCTATGTAAACTTGAAATATCTGTATTACCCCTTTCTGGTCACTACGTTATACAGCCTTCTCCCTAGCTATTACATTTCAGCCATTTTGCTTGTAATTAATTCGTTTACATATAATTTCTCAGAGAACCAGGATAGCATAGTCAGTATAGCAACTCGCTATGGACTGGACCACAAAGGGGTTGGAGTTCAAGTCCCAGTAGGGTCAAGAATTTACTCTTCTCCATGTCATTCAGACCAGCTCTAAGGCCCGCCCATCCTCCTATCCAGTGGGTACTAGGGACTCTTCCCGTGGCATGAAGCTGATCTCTCACCTCCTGCTAGTGCTGAGGTCAAGAATACGTGGATCTATACATCCACTCCCCCATATGCCTTCATGGCCTAGTGCTTAATTATTTAAATTTTGGAGTCATTGTGTTGTAGATAGTGAATTGCTTTTGAGGTACATTGCTTTATGATAACAGTATCTTTTATTGGTGATTTTGTATCTCCGATATCTTTGCTGCCATTCTGTAGATGAGAAGATGCTGGAGACAGGAATCGCAGGTGGCTGTAGAAATGCGTTCAAAGCACAGACAGCATGGCACCTGATAACAGAAATGTGTAGTTTACACACGTGTAAAATATTGTGACATGTTGCGCAACGGAGATCCCCTCCCTACCCAGCAGCGACGTGGCAGATGAGTCAGCGCTCCGCCCCCCCCCTCCGTGGTGACATAACGCACAACGCCGCTATTGCTACGTACCCGTAACCAGCTTCCCCAACAGTGTTGCTACGTAACAGGCAAACACAGCCACTATATAAGAAAGCTGCTCTGCCTGTGAGGCGGGTTGAAATATAGCAGCAGTCGCGATAAGAAGACCCGAACGCGTGGTTACAAGATTCTATGTGACAGTGTGCGATAACCAAGAAGTTAACTTGTAGCCGTCCCCTGAGAGAGTTAAAGTGTATCAGCGCCGAAGACAGTTCTCCAGTCAGCCGCCTACAGTTGGAGTATAGCAGAGTTCGCAGAAAGAAGAACCGGACTTGTGTGTAGTTGTGTAATTGGGAGTGTGTGATACAGGGACACTTACATAGCTCCCCTACTGTAAACGTGTAGACTACTGAAGACAGAGTGAACTGATTTGCGCATAGGGTTATAAATCGTGAAACCCAGCAACAGTGTAAACAGATTATTGCGATTAGGGTTATAAAGTGTGAAACCCTGCAACTGTGTGATAATTAATTGTAGCCGTTACTTGTAGATTGTTGAATAAACCAATTAACAATCGGAACGGCGTCTTCAGTAACAAAACACGTTACATTGGTGTCAGAAGTGGGATTGAACTTACACACGTGACCGACAAGATTCGAACTCAAGACACATGACAATTTGGTGTCAGAACTTAAACATGCCACAAACAACTTGTTGTGCATCTAGTACTTTACTGCTACAAAAATGGAGATGCAACGAATAATCGAAATGCTGGAGAAGGGTGAGGCCAAGAAGAAGTCAGAGAAGGCCGAGAGGAAGAGAGATAGAGAAGATTTCCTGACAAAATTAGACGTCAACCAAAAACAAATCGATGTCATGCTGACAAAATTAGACGCCGACTTGAATGCCTGGCAGGAAGAGACAACAGCCTGCCAAGATGCAACAGAGAAAAATCCAAGAGGAAAAGCTGTTGTAGTTGACCGACAGTCGATTCCTAACGAAGACAATGAGACATTGGCCTGCCAAGCAAGGACGGCACAACAAGAAGAGGTCCCCATAATAACACTGGTCGGAGCGACGATGGCCTGCCTAGAAATGGAGGCACATCCAGAAGAAGAAGGGCCGGCCTCAGTGAACAAGAAACCTGAGGCGGCAAAACAACTAGAGGTACCCCTAAAAGATGCTGAAGTAATGCTGGTCGGAGAACCGAAGAAGAAAAGGCACAGGGACCGACATCAGCGAAAGAGGAAGAATTCGACACGGGAAAATTGCGGACCCCAGAATAAATTGGCCGTCCTCAGCAGGAAGGTGTGCCTCTATGCAACTGTCATGGTGCTGGAGAAACATCTTCAATAAATCTTGGACCTGAGGAAACTATGAATCCCGGATGAAGCTGGCTGCCACCTGCAGGAAGACATCCCGTTGCACGACAGTGGCACAACGTTGGAGAAATGCCTTCGAGAAGGAAACTCCCCAGGGAACCTTTGGATGTCAGACAGAAAAGGTGACAACCAAGGACGCCATCGCAGGGTGTGGATCAGGACATCGATTGCACCTAGGAAGGAGAATTTGTGAGAAGAATTTCTACGAGATTGTCAGCATGAAGATCGCGAAGCAAATAGCTGGATCTTCTGTCAGCCTACGAAAACACAAGAATTGAACCTTATGGAGGAGTCAACCCCTCCAAAGCGGAAACAGAAACAATGGATCAGGGAGGAGCCGGTAACATAGAAGTACCGACCTCCTGAGCAAGAGTGACTGTGCAATGGATGAATGTAATACCACTGGATCCTATGGCAAGTTAAAAGGGAACCGCTCGAGATGAGCTTGGTCTTAAGATGTAGCGGTTGGAAAGCAGAGCAACGGGGAGAAGACAAAGAGTAGCAGGACAAAAAGAAGATGCTGCAAGAACAGCCTCCAAAGAAAAGGAACGGGGTGCACCATTAGGCTATTCGGGATGAACAGCCTTAAGGAGGGAGCAGTGTGACATGTTGTGCAACGGAGATCCCCTCCCTACCCAGCAGCGACGTGGCAACTTGGGCCACGGTGACGTGGCAGATGAGTCAGCGCTCCGTCCCCCCCGCCTCCGCGGTGACGTAACGCGCACCGTCGCAATTGCTACTTACCCGTAACCAACTTCCAACAGCGTTGCTACGTAACAGGCAAACGCAGCCACTATATAAGAGAGCTGCACTGCCTGCGAGGCGAGTTGAAATATAGCAGCAGTCTCGATAAGAAGACCCGAATGCGTGGTTACAAGATTCTATGTGACATTGTGCGATAACCAAGAAGTTAACTTGTAGCCGTCCCTGGAGAGAATTAAAGTGTATCAATGCCGAAGACAGTTCTCCAGTCAGCAGCCTACAGTTGGAGTATAGCAGCGTTCGCGGGAAGAAGAACCAGACATGTGTGTAGTTGTGTAATTGGGAGTGTGTGATACAGGGACACTTACATAGCTCCCCTACTGTAAACGTGTAGACTACTGAAGACAGAGTGAATTGATTTGCGAATAGGGTTATAAATCGTGAAACCCAGCAACAGTGTCGACAGATTATTGCGATTAGGGTTATAAAGTGTGAAACCCTGCAACTGTGTGATAATTAATTGCAGCCGTTACTTGTAGGTTGTTGAATAAGCCAATTAATAATCCGAACTGCGTCTTCAGGAACAAAACACGTTGCAATATGTTGCTATATTTAACCTTTATGAAATTATGTTCTCTCTGGCATAGTTCACATGCAGACTGAAACCATGGAGTTTGTTTGTTTGTTTGTTTGTTTGTTTGTTTGTTTGTCAGTTTGACATCTGGCAGGGTTTGCATGTACATAATGCATCATTGCATTTGGTTTAGGATTGCCTGTTGACATGTAAAGAGGTGGGAGAAATGGAAAGTTATGTTAATGCTGAGAATTTTACCTGTGAATTTTATCGGTTTACCTGAATGCAGGACAAAATCATAATATAAATATAGTTAATAACTTTGTATTCGATATTTAAATGGCTGACTGCTGCAGCCACTGAAATCTGCACTGTGTCAATGCTGCAACAAAGATTTCTCAAGAAATTCTCAAAGTACAGCATGGAAGTAAAGTTTTGTTATTGTTACTTTGTAAAAACTGAATGGGAGTTCTAATAACAGTAATTTAACACTTTGCGGACCGCGCGCCCTTTAAAAGGTTTTTCGCTTCTAAACGTTGCAGACCGGTGGCATATTATTATGACTTTAGGACACGTTATGTTGAAACACACTATACCTTGCTCTGGCACCACGCAACTGCAGTGAATACTGCGTAATACAGTGCATACAATCAAGTGCGCGCCGCGGCTGCAATTTGCCGTGAGTCATACCACCGCAGAACGGATGCAACTCCTCCCCGCGACTGCAGTGCCGTTCCCCGATAGCGTGAGTGTAGTGGTGTCGCTGAGTCTCCGTCCATCAGTTGCTCTACATGCACACATTTATAAGAATACAGTAAAAAGATAACTTACCGTGGTTTATAACAGGTGCTGAAAGTGACCTCCTTCTGCTTGCAAACATGCCGCGCATCTCACAAATAAATTACGCGACACTCTCTGCAGTTCGTCGACGGTAATTGAATGAATTACGCGTGTAATTTCATTTTGAAGACTATCAATGCTGCGGGGATTATTTTTGTAGACTTTTTGCTTCAGGTTGCCCCAAAGATAATAATCAGAAATACTGAGATCTGGGGATCTGGGAGGCCACAGTCCTCTACTGACAATTCTGTCTTCAAACACTTCCTGTATTGCGACCATGGATGCAT